TATGAAGCAAACTTACGGGTCCAGCATCCAAAAGCTACGTCTCTGAAAAGTCGGGTTCTGCTCGCCATGAGCATAGTAACAATTCAGAGTTTCGGCATTACCAACCTGATCATGCATATAATATATAGCAATCCTCAGAACTCCATCGATATTAGAACAATCAAAATGGATTCAACATTTAACAAAACATAGTCCATTTTAAAGAATCAATTAGCTAATATTTAGACGATATGAAAGTTCCCAGAATTCCCCCGGGAAGGGGGGGCTCCTTCATTTTATAAACAACCAAAAGCACATATTTTATACAAATTTTATAGGGAGAATCCGAGAATATGAGAAAACCTTAAGCCTTTCATGGGCTTCACCGACAGTTCTTCCATCCTTCTTTTTACGCCAACTGTGACCATCTTTACGAAAGAAACGAAGAACCCTCTTGTTGAAAAGATACAACGAGCCACCTAAAACACAAAAAAAACTGAAGAAAATGGTGATTTTAACGAAATTTAAAAATGAAAAAGTTGAAAACGATTTACTTGTTGGCTTTTGAGGCGGCGCATGCGTCAGTTCATATTTTTCATGATTTTGTAGGATAAACAGAACTTCTGCTGGCTTCAACCACCGGGATTGAGCTTCTCGAAATAAGCTATCAATATCATAACCTGAGATAATCATTATTAAAGCCCTAAAATTAGATTTAATCTAACTTCAGACAGTAAAGAGAGAGATCCAAAGAGTTGAAAAAGAAAATCAAAAGGGTGTTGCTTTGTTCACCTGATTGAGCCATTTTCTTTGGATTCCCAGAACAAACACCAGAGCTAACAATTAGAGTAAAAGACAGGATCTTGTGATCATTTGAACTGGTGGCTGCTGCATCTGTGATTAAAATTGCCGGCTGGGGAGTTGGAGATTTGTTTTGAGGTTTAGAAAACGACTAAATTGTGGGTCTACTCCATGTACTATCCCTGTCCTTGTCTCTGCTTTTGATCAGATACACAACTTTATGTAACAAAGGAAAATTTACCCCTTTTATTCAGTCAATGACATGTTATATTTAAAGAATTCAAACAAATTTATATGATATCATTTTAATTTTAGTAATTATTAAATCATTTTGAAATTATATAAAAAATATAACTGATTTAGTAAAATGTTTTAATTCTAGCTATAATTATTTTGATGTAATATTGAAGGGGGAAAATATTAGAAGCCAGGGTAAGAAAAAAGATTGATTCATTTAAGGTATTGGAGAAATTATATGTTGAGATAAGATGAATGTTACACTGATGATAGGAAAATGTACGGAAGAAAGACACGATATCTTTTTCAACCTGGTATACAATAAACACCAAAATTTAAATGATTTAGATATTTTTTTAAATACATCATATAATTCATACAACTCTTTAGTGACATTATAATAAATACCTTATGTCGTAAATAATTCCTCTAAAACCATGAATGGAATAATATTTTCCCCACACATTATCTAAATAATTTTACTCTTATTAAAGCAAATTAATTTTACAATAGCGACAAGAATCTCTGTTATATTTGTGATAAATGAATTATTGTTATTTTTTGAAACTCTAAGTTTGAGTATTAGAAATGTCACTTATATTAACATTCAATGTCAAATAATTAAGAGTTATCTTCAAATAAATATTATCTTATACTCATTTAAGATTTATAAAAAAAAATTACAATGGCGTGAGGGAAAAGAGTCGTTTGGGTTTGGAGAAAGCATGTGAGAGTCCAGAACCGGAGGATAATGTGCTGAATATTTAAAAACACAATTTTTTATATTAAAAAAGCACGTGCAAAAGGTTGTGGTTACTTGTTTATGGTTATTGACTGCCTGGTGTCTACACCTAATTTCTGCATATTCCAAATCATAAATGATTAAATAAAAAGGTCCAACTGATTTCTTATAGTCAAAGGGTAATTTTTGTTGAATGGTTTGCCTCTGCGTGGAAATGGTAAAACTTTGATTTCTACTCTTTATTTGTTATTTTGAAAGTGTTCCGAGCTGGTGTTCCCTTTTGTTTAATTATTTGTTTTGTTTTTGGTGGTGGGTGGAACCACAACTCTTTAGATACCTCGTACATATACTTTTCAATCTCTATTCCATTTTTGTTCTTAAAATTGGTAATTTAGGGTCTTCTAATATTCTTAATTGACTAAAGATTATTTATATGTTATTAATACTAATTTAATTTAAACTTTTTAACATTAGTTTTCTTAGTTTTAATCTTTTTAACAAAATTTTATATTTTTTTATCAAATATATATGGTTTAGGGTAAGTGGAAGTTGGTGGGTGAATTACTCTTGTCCACCTCTGGTATATTAAACATATTTGGAATTTCTAGGGTTAACAAGTCATTGCTAATATTAATGTTAAACATATAGTGGCTTTGCCTTACCTTTCTTTGGTCCACCTCTGGTATATTAAACATATTTGGAATTTCTAGGGTTAATTATGCACTTGACTCATGAATTTGCACTTGCTTGTTATAATGGTAAGTGATTCCTAAATCGCTACTTTTCCATTTTGGAGTTTTCTATGAGTTTCAGATTTGTGGTGGATGTGTCTACGCGTGATCTTCTACTATCACTCAGAGACCCAACCTGAACCTCACTCTTGCTCGTATTTGTGCCCGCTTCAGTCAGGCCATGAACCGGGCCATCTGTAACTCACAACATGTTGGACTAGACTGCTAGGCCTAACAAATTCACTTGAGCTTGGTCTAAGCTGAATCTAAGCCCAGCCCAACCGAACCAATTTAATCCAAGCGACCAAAGTTGTTCACGGTTGATTTTGACCAATATTAACTTATTTCCATTGATTTTAAGGATGCGCTAATTCTATTTTTTACGACATGTTTTGTTAAATTATAACCCAAAAGCCCTAAATTAAGCCTGTTAACCTAAACATGCATTTTTAACTTTAATATTTTTAATTTGTTTAATAAATTTTAGATATAAAACTAATTTACAATTATATTATGTGAAAGTATTCATATTTCGCCTAATCGAGTATCAACCAAATCCAATACTTCTCGTCCAAGAAATTCGTACAATTATCGTAATTTTATCATAATAATAATCTAATTTTCTATGGTATTTAGGTTTTAACACTATCGCTAACTGCAACAAGATCACTTAGTAGATTTTCTTGTCAAACTTCTCAACTCAAAATATATGTGTTATCGATAGTGTTATATTAATTTTCTTGTCCGCTGCTGTACTTCATTATATTTGTCCTTTTATTTTATTTTAATGACATGGATTTTTGTTAATGATTATGTAAGTTATTATTATTTTAGACATATTATTATTATTATTATTTGATATGTTTATATGTTTTTTATACTTATATATACATATACATTACGAACTTTACTCAATGAACTTTGGATACTATAATATACGGTTGATAAATAAGTACTTTTGGTTAATTTTTATATTAAACGATATTTAAGTCTTTGAATATTTAAGGAATTCAAATACGTTACAAAAACCGTGTCTCTAAGAAATGGGAAAGCCATCACCAGATGGATTGCCTTTCCATTAGACACCCTGAATGCAACCCCAAAGGACCATTAAATGGTGTAAACCCTGAATGAAGTGCGGCTGTTATAAGTTCTGCCATGCGGACTATTGCAAATCCATTAGCAAACACTATGAAACCAATCCAGGACAATGGTGATGATCATTTGTCTTTTGCTTCAGCATTAGCAATGAGACCGGGCCAAATGATTTGAATGGAGCACTGGATCTGGGTTTGGTCTACGATGCAACCCCACAGCACTACTTGGTTCTCATGTGCTCCATGAATTTCACTCGGAAACAAATGATGACCATCACACGCCCGAACCGTTACAACTGCTTGAACCCTTCTTCTGATCTTAATGACCCATTTTTGTTTTTTGTTTTATTGCTTTATACAACCCTAACGTCACGAAAACTACTGTCAAGACATTCTGCAGGACCGTGACGGATGTGGGACAAGGTGCTGCGACGTACAATTGCAGCCTGAGGGTTGAACCATTGTTGTTTCGCCACAGAAATTGTCCTTTAGAAAAAAAACATATGAGAAGCAAAGGTTTAGCGTGGCTATAAGTTATAGCAGCAACAACAAGGGGAAAGAAACATTCGCTGAAGTTGTTTGGATTCAACAGAATGGAAAACAAAACCTATTGAATGACCTTAATGGTTAAAATGAGTTTTGGGTAAAATGAGCAGCTTCGTCTGCAGAATAAGGTGTGTATGCGTTATCAATGACTGAAAAAGATTATCCAAAACTATTTGAAAAACTTTATTCAAAAATATTACTATCAAGCATGTATCATGATGTTTTTTTTTTCTTCATGGCTCATCCCACAGTTCATACATTTTCCAAATTACCCACACCTCAAATCCTTCAAACCCACGATTTTCTAGTTGCAGCAACATAGTGGTGTCCATCCAAAGGATTTAATTTGTCCTATTTCCCCAAAGTAAAGCAACTATCTTGCTATTTTGCCTATAATTCCCAATAAGGAAAATAAAAGTATGATTGGTGTTAGATGTCAAGGAGTTTCCTTTGAAATGCATTTCGTACTACTCTTTGCATTGAACTATTATGGTATTGAAGCCACCCTTGAGACCAAGTAATTGTATTACCCGTGATGTAATGGCTCTGCCATTTTATGCAAACAACAGAAAAGGTGTTAGTATACCTGTGATGTAATGGCTCTTCCCATTTATGCAACTAATAAAATAGTAATCTTGAATAAGTACGAAGAAAGATGCGTAATATACATCCAGCAACATCAAAGCCCTCTTTGATTGACCCCGTCCTCTGGATGTTGTCAAATGCCATTTTTGCCTTTTTGGATAAGCATTATCCATGCTGATTAATTGCTTATGTTATTAAACAGAAGAGGGGGGGGGGAAGAAAGGGTTAACTTATGCAATAGAAATTGAATATGGAAATCGATCAACCCTCCCATGTTTTTTTCCTGGTAAATAAGAATACAATACACATGGATACTGTTAAAAATACTTTACAAAGTTACTATTTCAGCAAAACAAGGAAGCCGTCCCTATTCACATAGTTCAGTTAACATCCCAAACAAGACTCATTCCACATTTCCTGCAATTAATACTCTATGAAACCTGATAAATTCGTTTATCTCTCTATGTGGCAACACATAACATCACTCGCAAGAATTCAAATATAGCTGGATTCCCAAAGGCATCCTCCCAACTTCTTCACCCAATCAACCTTTTCTCTTCACAAAAATTCTACCATGCTGTAATGCAAGAATCATTTTGAGCGAAAATGAGTGTATCAGCAATCTAGTAAATTTTCAATATATGGATGGGGATAAAAAAAATCCCTTCATAAGCTTTAGAAAACTACATATACAATGCAAGGCATAACTGATAACAAACCAATACCGAAGAGCAGAGATATCAGATGCAAAATGTTGCCAACAATTTGATATCATGAAGAACAAGCTACGAGCTGTTGACCTTAACCATTGTCATACTATTCAACCCTATGTTATTAGGAAGGACCTATGTATCCAACACAAGTGTGGTTAAGATTTTTCTTAGTTTTTCCATGTATTTGAAGGATCCTTAGAGGTTATATCCCATGTCCAAGTGCCAGACACAAATACTTCTTGAAAAAAGAATAGTCCGAGAAACATAAACCACAAGCTCAATTTATCTTATAGATCCAGTGCTCAAACAAAAACTCGAATGCAGCCAGTCTGCTTCATAATTTTGCTCAGTTTGATAAACCAAAATCATCATTATCATCTAATGCTAAATTTTCCATTAAGAGTTGTGCAAACATTTCTAACAGATCATTTGCATTGATAACTTAATGATTATGAGATCTAATTCATAATAACGAATTTAGTACTCTAGGATAAATAATACACAGATTTTTCATTCTATATTCATTCAAGTAACACAATTCCTATAGTATATTGGCACAATTATTAAGGAATTAAAATCAAATGCACATGTATCAAAAGAAGTACGTATAAATATAAACAGAGCATCCCAGGGTATGTTTTCTCTGTTCTTTTGGATGTATGTTTTTTCCATTATTCCAACAAGTGAGCAAAATAACCGAATCAAGCGTGATTTTTCCTCCCTAGTTCTTCTTGAAACCAAACACAAGAAAACAAAAGCAATTACCAGGAATATCTTTTCGAGGCGAAGGAGGGGCCAAGACATAACAAAGAATAGAACGACCCATCATGGAAATTGCGGACACAATCCCAGCAACGTAGAACACCATGAACAAACCAATAACCCAAGGCAACAACATGAACCCTATAAAGAAAGTAACCGATCCACACATCATCATCGAAATCGATATCCCTAGCATCAGCCAAGCGAATCCAGCCGGAGATATCGTCGATACATCTAGCAGATGGGACCTCCTTTCCGACACCGATGATTGGTCGGTGAAAGGCACCGGCGGCGATCGTATAAGATTCAGAACCAAAGCCGACAGCTCGTAGAAAATCCTTGATTGCTGATCCTGACGTCGATGGCTTTCCACTTCTCTTCTCATCATCTTTACTTTTTTCAGGAAAAAATCCAATCGAAAATTCAAAGATCAATTTTTTTCTATACCCTTTTATTAAAAGATAAAAGTAAAAAAGATTTGAGAAACTATGAGTTTTTTTCCTTTTCTTTTCTAAGAACGATGCAAATGGATAAACTCGGGGACAAAGACAGATATCTAAACCTCTGTTTGATTGGAGAAAAATTAACAACTGGAGAGTTCTGATAGACGAAGCTTTGTTTGTTTCTCGGAAAATTATGGAGGGAGGGTGAAAATAAAAATAAAATGACGCGGCGGTGCTATTATTATTCTGATTTTCAGAAACTACAATAAATAGGAAAAAAGTAGGATCCACTCGTAATTATGAGCGCATGTGTTGAAACTGCTTTATGGATTAGAGCAGACGTGGAAGTCTTAGGTGGGGACAGATGACGTATACCTTATCCTTTAATTTAAGCCTTGAATTTAGGCTATGATATTTTTACTATGTAATTAAAGCGTGTGAATGTTGCTAATTAGATTTCTTTAACGTTATTTGAATTTAATCGATGTAGGTAAATGAATCAAACTTAAATGAAAAATGTTAGGTTGGTGTTTGTTTACTTATTTTTTAAGTTATCCGTGTTCGATTATTTATTGTTCATAAATTTGATCATTTAAATGTGTTCATTTATATGTTCATGAACGTATTTATTTAGTGTTCACTAACATATTCATTAACTTACATCGGTGGTTAAATGAATCATTGTTGTTCATAAATGTCATAAGTTCGAGCACCAACGACTGCAAGGGTGATTGGATGTTCATAGTCAAATGGTTAAAAGTATAATGTTAGTTATACTCTTCATATGTAAGTTAAAGAAAATGATAAAATCGTGTCATTAAAGGAAAAGGAAAATTAGGTAAATAAAATTGTTTATTCATTTATTAAATGAACATAATTTTTTTTTATTTTTAGTCATTTATTTAACTTAATAAAAAAACGTTATACGAGCAATTCACGAACAATTCATTAAACACTCTGTTTATTTACACTCCTAATTTAATCTCATAAAACACTAACTTCAGTTTTTTCTTTCTTTATTGTTAGGATAAAATATTTAGATAGTCTTTTAATAATTTTTTAATTAAATCCAATAACTATAAAATGTTGTAAATATTTTATTTAAATTATCAGAAATTATAAAATACTGAACTTTTATATAACGATACTATAGTTTATAAAATTAATACAATAATAAATTTAATCCTTAAAATTTTATTTTCTTTAGAAAGTTGGGGTTTAATATGTAAAATGCATATTAAATTGGTAAGAAAAAGACAAAAAGACAAAAAGACTAAAATTATATTAATTTTATAAATACAAAATACATCATACGTCATTCAGTTATTATTAAAGATTATAAATAGATCATTAAATTTTAAAAGTTATAAACGAGTCACTCAATTGATCTTCTGTTACAAACAATTCGCTTTATTATTAAGTGTGTAACAAAATTAACATTTCAATTATTAAGTGACCCATTTATAATTTTTAAAATTTTGTATATCAACTATAATCTTACTAATAATCAAATAAAATATAATATATTTTACCAATTTTATGAATTGTCACGCCATCTTTACTAATTTAACAGTAATATATCATTTTATAATTTTTCATAATTTAAATAACTAATTTATAAATTTTTAAAATTAAATAATTTAACTAAAATTTTCTTAATTTTAAAATTTACTAATTTTTTGAACTCCTTCTTTAGTGGAAAATATTGTATAAGATAATTAGTTTTTTACTTTTATTTTATTTTATTTGGAACACATACTTGTATTTAAAAAAACAACTAAATAATTTACCATAATAACTAGGGTAAACTACACGTTTAGTATATAAACTATCAGTTTTGTTTCGTTTTAGTACATAAACTTTCATTCGTTTCAGAACCATACTTAAAGCTTACTTTTTGTTTCATTTTAGTACACCACCGTTAAAAATTTATCATAACTATTGCACGTGGCATTTTTATGAGTAAATTGCATCTTTCATCACTTAACTATCTTCTCACGCTTATTTTGACCACTAAAGTTTAAAATTTCCAATTTAACTACTCAACTTTCAAATTGCTCATATTTTAATCACTTTAATTTATTTTATTAATAATTTTTGTGACATGATAATTTTTTTATTATTTTATTAATATATAATTAAAATAAAAAAATTGAAAGTGAGAGTTTATTTTTTATTAATCTGGGATAAGTACAAGGTAATATATGTTCAAAGATAACTCTCAACCATTTGACATTGAACGCTCACACCCTTGGCATTCATGGTGCTCGAACCCGGGACCTTAAGAAATAACAATAATTCCTTTACCACCAAGGTCGCTTGGTTCGTGCGAAAGTTAGAGTGATTAAATTAGGATTAATTTGAAAGTTGAGTAATTAAATAAAAAATTAAACTTTAGTGATCAAAAATATAAGTAAGAAGAAAGTTGTGTGATGAATTATGTAATTTACCCATAAAAAATATCCATGTTGTAATAGTTTCGCTATGTTTTGAAATACTAAAACGAAACAAAAAAGTAAACGTTAGGTACAATATTGAAACAAATGAAAATTCGTGCCCAATTCATAACAAAAAAGCAAACTTCGAAATATATATGTATATAAATACAAGTCACTACTAGCAAACTGCATTGAAAGCTACTTGAGTTGCACAAATGAGTAAAGTCGTGGAGGCCGAGAACGAAATAAATCAGAGCAAGAATTCTGATGCGAGGTGAGGTAGAAGAAACAAAGGGATAAAAGGACAGGGAATCCAGCAGTTTGCACAAGAGTGACCATCCATGTACTATTAGTCAAATAAAGAAAAATGAAGGAGATGATTAACCGGCGGTAAAAGAAAAGCAAAAGTTGGAGTATAGAAAAAACGATAAACTGCAGTTAGTTTAAATAAAATTCATGAATGTACGTGGTATTATATTATTGGTGGGGCATACAAGAGGATTCTTGTTTCTTTATAATAACTAGCATAATTTTGCTTTAACATATATATATAATAAAGTGGAATCAAACTCTATTCAAGCTGGAAACGATCTCGCACATTTGAAATGTAGCAGGAGGCCTTCAAATCCACGCTTTCGTCGGCATGACCCCAAGCCTCAACTGCATACGCATACGACACCTTTTGCATTGATGATGGAAGATATGCTACATTCTTCTGCGCATGGAAACTGGTCGGCTGCTTGGAGCTAGCATAAGAATAGGTCGACACCCTTGGAATCGACGAATACACCGATGATGATTGTGTCGAGCAGGAAACCACCTTGCTGCTGCCGCTACCGCTACCGCTACTTGACCTGGGCCTGGTGAATCGAGAGAGAGACTTGGATAACTCGCTTCTGAAGAAACCCTTCTTTTGAGTTGCTTCCATTTGATTTGAATCTAACGAAACAAAAGAACAAAGAATTTGTAAAACTGTTTGAGGATGAAGCTAAGAAGTAAGAAGAAAAGATGGTTTTTGGTTGGTTCTGTTGACCGAAATCTCATGTATATATAGAGAGAGCATTAATGGTAGTGCCCTTCCATTGTTACCAATACAATATATAATCCGAAATGGCAAATCAATCACCGCCGGAGACAGAGAGAGTAGGTATAGACTGGCTATAATGGATATATTCGTAAGGTACCTATCGCTTTTCCTTGACTGATATGTTTGTAATGTTATTTGTAGGTTTGAAGAATAAACAGTGGCTCGTGCATGTTTGGCATCTTCTACTTCGGACATAGGATAGGTTATCACAGACAATCAATAATGGTGGTGTTAAAGAATATGCGAAGCCATCATCAATTTTCTCAATTACTGGTCTCTAAATCCTAATTTTTTCTTTTGTCTTGTCATGTTATGTTGTTTGGTAATAGCCAACTCATCTCTTATCTGCTTTCAATGGAAATACGTGGCATGTAGAGGAGAAGGATGATCTCTGATAATCTTAAATGGATTTTTTTATTATTGTAAAGCACAAAATGATAATCTTAGATATTGATTCTCTAAGTCTATGAAATAGATAAGATTGTACAATTCATTGTTTGGGATAAAAGATAAGGAGTTTGTTTTTTTTGAACGGACAAAATGAAATGAAATTTCGTTTGTGCCACCTGCAAATATTCCCAGAAAATGTACGAGTAAATACACTTTTTTTTAGGTTTAGTACAAGTGTTATTTATTTTTTATATTTTAATATATGTGTTAATAATAAATTAGTTTTATTTAATAGTTTTTAATGATCACATAATTTAGTTTGGAGAGATGATTATACAGCTCAGTTGGTAGAGCACAAGGTTCTTAACTTTGAGGTCGTGGGATCGAGTCCCACGGAGAGCATTTCATAATTCGGAGGTCTTCTACGAAATATGCTCTCAACCTGGTGTTGGGGACAACCTACTATCTTACCTCTCCCTACCCCATTACATATGAGAACAAGGGACAACCATTTATAATTTAGTTTGGACAAAGAAAATGAATAAATATTTCGTACTGTTGAGAACGTTTAAAATTATAAAATAAGTCCAGACCAATTGAGTCCAACCAATTTAGATTTGGATAAAGGGTTTAAAACTTTCTTTTAATTACAGATGACTTGGTCTATAAATACCTGTAGGCACAAATTCATCAAAACATATCTCATGCGTAACCAATTAAAATTTTGACCAATCACCCCATGGAGAGCCAACATAAAGTTTGATTATTAAAATAATTTATCATAGATGAATTCCTCAATACATATCTCATGTTGCAAAACCCTTTTCCAATCTGATTATATGAACACGATTAATGACAAATACAAAAATATTTTTGAGACTCGATATATATATATTAAAGATAATTTTTTTTAAAAAAAATAGGATGAACACAAATAAAATTTTACAATGAATATCATTATTAAAATAAGTAAATAATCAAAGAAAATTTAGATTTCAAGATAGGCACATATCTATTCTAAAGAAGTTGTGCATCGGTCACTAAACATAAGAAATTATATTCGGATAACAAA